CATTTACCCATGGCGGGTGAGAGTTTACTCTATTTCTTATAGAACTGCACAGCATGTCACATGATGGCAGCTTCCGCCACTGTGCATCATAGGATGTGCAGTGTTTGCATCAACCATCAGTATCACGGTCTGAACCCTGCATTCTGTTTTCTGTATTCTGCACTTTATTATTCTGAATTCTACATTCTGTATTCTGCATTCTGTATTCTGAATTCTGAATTCTGCTTTCTGTATTCTGTATTGTGCACTCTATTCTGAATTCTACATTCTTCATTCTGTATTCTGAATTTTGAATTCTGTATTCTGAATTCTGCACTCTGTGATTACGTCGGGCAGCTATCGTGAGTTCCTTCGGGGACGAACACACTGGTTTTACACGGGTATTTTGTCTCGTGTGTGTGTTGGGGTGTGGTGTTGGGGTGGGGTGGGGTGGGGAGTCATCATCATTTACACTGCACAGCCAGAGGTTGTCACTGAGAGAGCTGAATTTACTGAAAGCACAACGTAAATTGATAAAATTAAAAGACCTACACCAGACTGCCAGGATGTCAAAAGACTCGAAATGAGCTACAGTACAAGTACCAGGGCACCGCGGCAAGGCGCGCAGGGCATGTATATCATAAGTTCATAACCTGGGCTAGAAAGCGAAATCAGTGGATGGCCATGCACAAAGTAATGAGAGGCAATGCAGAAAAGCGCTCGAGTTGAACGAAAACGAGATCATGTAGACATGAAACATGCATGTGCACACAATGACCTCATGCATGAGCACACAATGACCTCATGGATAATACACAATGACCTCATGGATAATACACAATGACATCATGGATAATACACAACGGCCAAGATAATGATATTATGTGGATCACTAGTTGAGGGTGTGTTGGCAAGAGAAAACTGCGGGTAAGATCTTCAACAGCAATGTGTAGTTGTGCAACCGCTGCTGGCATCTGACATTGGTAAGAATGCTAGTAGGGCAACCACTATATGCACGGCGGTGTGTGTATTTGTGTTTGTGTACATGCATCCACATAAGGGGGGGGGGGGGGTACCTGCATACATGTAGGTTTGTGAGCATACTCAGTCAAGGTGGGATAGGCTGGCATGTCGACCAACTACTTGCTTGTGCGCAAGTATATATGTGTTGCTGTGTTTGTGTGTGTGGGGGGGGGGGGGGGGAGGAGAGGTAGTGATCCATTGGATGCCAGTTAATGTACACACAAGTAGGAGCCGCAGGAATGGCAGTGGTGCCGGTGTTCCGGGGGGGGGGGGGGGGAGAAAGGACAATTTGGAAAAGGTAGACTTGAAATTGGCAGCAAAATCTTTAAAAAAGAAAAGACATGTGCAGATACAGGCCTCATGAAGCAAACAATGGGCAAGATAAATTCCAAAGAGCACAAGCAATACAAATCGAAACTGCGAAGAACGATTAAAAGTTACGATATACATTGTGCATGTCGGTGGCAAGAGTGTATTCGCATAGACGTACTCATAGACATACTCATAGACATACTCATAGACATCGCCACACTCTGAACGGTACGTGATGGATGCTGAATTGTGCAGGCCAGTATGCAGTAACACAATCAAAACTGATTATTTTGACAGAACTGATGTGGGCAAGAATGGGACAACGGTGACTGTACCTCATGTTACCCTGCAGACACACTGCCCTGGCGTGTCCCGCAAGCAGGGCAGCAAGCAGAACAGTTGATGGCAGGGTGATTCTCCTGTCTCTTCCTTAGCTGCAAGGGAAGCAGAAAGAGAGAGGGAGAGAGAGAGAGAGAGAGAGAGAGAGAGAGAGAGAGAGAGAGAGAGAGAGAGACAGAGAGAGAGAGACAGAGAGAGAGAGAGACAGAGAGAGAGAGAGAGAGAGAGAGAGAGAGAGAGAGAGAGAGAGAGAGAGAGAGAGAGAGCTGACGTGAACAGCGTAAAATACCTTCCAACGCCCCTGGCGTACATAATAATACTTCAAGTACAACATAAATCCGTTTCATGCTCACACCTGCCTGTTGCCTGCCACCCTCCTGGCACTTCTACTGTCGCGCCTTGGCCCGCGCCAGCTTTCTCCCCATACCTTACACCAGATGTGGCGCTAAATTTGTTTATGCTTGTGGCCCTAAGTGTTTATAAGCATACTGTTGGGTAGACCCGAGTATCAGTTGTCCTCCGGCCGCTGAGTCTGCTATGTAATAATGCAACATACGTACTGCATACGTACCACGAACTCCCGTTCAGAACAGCTGCACAGGATGCTAGCGGAGACTCTGGCAGC